TCCTGATCAGACTGCGCGGATGCGCAGGCTGGTCTGGATCCATGCTGGTCGCAGACCCATTATGTTGGTTTTGTCGTGACGAGGCTCAAATATTTTATTGTATTTCACATTAAACAATGAAAATATTATACAAATTGGTCAATATATATCTTAAACTATTAATCTGATTATGAAACTTTCTCGTGAATTGACCCTTTGAATGACTTAGAGTAGAGAAAATACATTATGCGCATGAATACATAACTCTGAAATTTATACGTTATTCGCACAGATTTAAAGGAATTCCATTAAGGTCCAAAATCTTAAAAACATAAAAATTGAATTTCTTACATAGATCAGCTGGGGCACTTAAAAAGATATGCAAACGATAATTAAGAAAAACACGCAGACATATATTGGAAATCGTACATGTATTTTTTTTTTCTATTCTTAGCCCGATCTAAGTGAAAAGCGTTGCAACGCTTTTGAATTTCGGGTCATTTTTATTAATTAGAATAATTATTTAGGGAAAACGGAGTGAGCGAATGATCTGAAATTGGTCTTGATCTACATGAAATGGAAAATTAATCTCGAAAAAAATAGTTTCAGTCCCGCCATGTCAAAAAAATTCAGTGGGGCCTTTAAAGATGTTTAGGTCCATTTGTGGTCAAATTTTGGACTGTTTTAAAAACAAAACTAATTGTATATGATTGTAAAACTCACTGATTAAAAAATGTGATATAGTCATAATTACCCCGAGAGTTACTTTCGTATACCCAAACTACGATATGGAAAATCATATTTTATGAGTCATTCAACATAAAATTTTGAAAAAGTCGGCGGTTTTGACTTCCTTCATAGCATGGTCGAAACAAAGAATCAAGTCCAACTTTGTCGTCCCTTCGTGTTTTCGCATTATGAGGCGAAGAAGCGAAAATACGACATGGCGAAAATCAGCCACCATAGAATCATGACACTAAAGTGCAAGCACTACGTCAAGTCTTTGTCAATTGATTTAGCATACAAGTTTTTCTTTCAGATTTGTGATGGTTAAGTTGTTGAACAATTGTTAAAATAAAGTTCAATCATCCACTTTGCGCATTGCTAAAGTATGCAAAACAACTCCTGCTTTTTTGAAAAAGACAAATGTCCCAGAAACTTGGTATAACGGTAAATTTTAGGTTAGGGTGTCTGGGGGGGAGGCTTCAGCCCTTTAAGCCCCCCCCCCCCCCCCCGTGGATCCGGGCTTGTAATAATAAACATTTGCCTTATAAAAATGCATGGTTGATATAAAATGATTGTTAAAAGAATAAAGAAACAGATTCAATTTTAGATTATCGGTATACCCAAACATTTCTTAAAAGCATCCATGAAGGAATGACAAAGATATGACCATGCATAACTCTCAATGTACTATTTTAACATCAAATAGGTCTATAACATTTATCTTCTATCTGTCGACCTGGTATTTCCACGTGTCAATGTCCGACAAAATTAATTATGCCTAGATATTTCAAAGTTCATCTATGAATGATATAATTAATGGCCGATCACGGTCGTCAATGCACTATAACAACGTTATGGACCTGACAAAATGTTAACAGATGGACAGACGGACAAATGGGCGGACAATAAAAAAACTGCCTTAGGGACATAACAATTTTCCCTTTTTTATTTCCAAGATTGAACAGCGGTGCGTTTTATAGAAGAAGAAGAAGAAGAAGAATCTTTATTTTGCAAATTAACTCTCAAAAGAGTCATGTACAAGCATTCATAATATATACAATAACATGTATGCATAAGTAAATAACTAATTACATAGCAAGATGACGTGACTGCAAGTATTTCTTTTCTTTCATTTTTATAATGGTTACCATTGATTATATATTTAATTTACAAGTTATTTACTTTTTGAGAGATTCTACATTCAAATATATAATAATAAGAAATACTTCGTGTATGTATTAGGCTTGCAATCACGGGAGAGACATTGTCAGCATCTATTACATAGTATACTTTTAATTCTCTTCCGTACACTGGTCTTTGTATTACATTTACTAATCTAAGCTATATGGTTTTGATTTATTGCAATAGTAATATGGCACAAAATATTGAAATTATACAAACAAAACAAAACAAATGTTACTTCTAAACTATACTTTGAACACATATAATGCTTCAAACTTGATACAAGTAAGACCAGTGTATGATTTGAAACTTACAAATTTATAGCCTTTATAATCATCGTGTTACTTAACCTATTATACATATAATACACAAAGAATTGCAATGTATCAATAATACATCTATATACAATTACATGACTGCTAATATTCGTACGTTACTCACATAGAAGTACAATACAATGTGTCAATAAACTTCTATGTACGTTTGCATGGGACTAGATATTCGGTTCTCATAAAACATATATATAGAACTTTAAATTAAACATTTTTCTACCTTTACACGAGAATTGTTTGTAACTGTTGTCTAATATGGAAGGCATGGTATATAAACATAGCTAAATTTCTAATATCATGTACATTATCGCTTGTAACCAACTGAACAAATTTAAACATGCTAGGAAACCTCCAGTAATATTTCTTTAAAAATCTTATTCGGAGTTCCTGATAAATAGGACATATAATGACAAAATGGAACTCGTCCTCTAATTGATTACATGCTACACAGACTCTATCAGTTAAAGGTACACTGTGGGGTTTTCTCCATCTACCAACCTCTATTTCTAGACGATGAGAAGACATTCTTAAACGTGACATGCTATTCTATACTTTTTATATCAACAATATCTAAATATCTACTAAAACTGAAATCATTGAAAGTGTGGTAAAATAGTGCTCTGGAAGAATAACTGATTCGGGCATTTAAATCCTGTTTCCATGTGTCTCTAACTCTCTGGTTAAAAACATTAAGAAAAATTTTAACATGTGGAACTCCTTGGTTTTGCCATACATTGTTAAAACCTAATCTAGACAATAATGATCGTACATTCGAAACCCAATTTATTTTCCTACTATTATTTTCACAATCTGCTTTTAATAGTAAATATGCATGTTTAGTATACTTGTTGTCTTCTAACATACACAATTTCAACCAATATTTGATGATTGAACATAATCTGTAAACTTCTAGATTAAATCTGCCCAGTTCACTATATACAAAATCATTTTGAGTAGGTATCTTAACACCAATTAACGTTTTACAGAAATGCAAAAATGTTCGTTCTACCTGTATACCTTTGAAAAAGCCCCAGACTTCTGAGGAATAACACAAAATTGGTAAAATCAACTTATCAAAAAGTTCTAAATGGTGTTTTACAGAAAGATCTGTAAATTTATATACATATTAATTCATTTTGTATATTGCTTTTAAATAATTGTAATATTGCAGCTTGTAATAATAAACATTTGCCTTATAAAAATGCATGGTTGATATAAAATGATTGTTAAAAGAATAAAGAAACAGATTCAATTTTAGATTATCGGTATACCCAAACATTTCTTAAAAGCATCCATGAAGGAATGACAAAGATATGACCATGCATAACTCTCAATGTACTATTTTAACATAAAATAGGTCTTAAGTATAACTTTTATCTTCTATCTGTACCTGTTTTTCCCAGTGTCAAGCCCGACAAAATTAAATTTACCCTTAAATTTTCAAAGTTCTTTTAGGGAATGATTAATTAAGGGCCGATCACGGTGTCAATGCACTAAAACAACGTTATGGACCTGACAAAATGTTAACAGATGGACAGACGGACAAATGGGCGGACAATAAAAAAAACTGCCTTAGGGACATAACAATTTTCCCTTTTTTGTTTCCAAGATTGAACAGCGGTGCGTTTTATATAACATCTCTAATATGCTCGTCCAACGATCATGTACCTTCGAGTTAAGACAAGGGCGTTTATCCTATTACGATTGTCTGCAGTTATGCCAATCTCCTACGCAGTGATCTCCCCTTAACAGTACAGAGATTCTGCCAAGGGAGGTAATCACTGTGAAGAGTTTGCAGTTATGCCTGCAAACTCCCAAACTCCTCACAGTGATTACCTCCCTTGGCAGAATTGTAATCACTGCCTTCAAAGACGTCACATGATGATGAAAGTCACATGACGTAACGTCGAAATTCAAATGTAAATATCGACCGTTACAAAGAAAATCTAACGTTATTTTTCTCTTTCTGTTTTATTTTTAATATTCATTATTATTTATTTATTTATTCATAAACATTGTTAAATAAATGAGAGAAAACTTATCTGATAAATAAAAGCAGTAGATAAAACAAATTTTGAAAAAATATAGTATATCAGAAATTCTGATATATCGGGACCTTGGTGGCAGAGATCTACGCCGAAGAATTAAGGGGAGATCACTGTGTGGAGATTGTTATGCCTGTACAAGTTTCTGCCCTTTGACTTTTATCATCATTTCGGCGTCTTTAAAAATAGTCATAATTTCATCTGCAACATAAATATACTCTGCAGAATACATTTAGTTATTATTTCATGTGCATAAAAGGCGTCATTTATGGAGGCTGATTTGTACCGTTCTTTATTTGTTATTTTATAAACGTCAGTTTTTATTCTGAAGAAGACAAAACGTTCGAAAGCTAAAGAAAAGCGTTTGTTTTAATAAATTGAACTGATTTGAGCTATATATGTGCATTTATAAATTATTTAAAATCTAGCTGTACATAATCAATACATGAATATATTAAAACACAGGTCGGAAAAAAGGGTCAAAAATGACGTCATTGCCGCGCGCCTTTCACGAATGAATTGCGTTCTTAGGGTGACGTCATTTTAGCGTTACGAATAATACTCTACGTTTCTTAAAAGTGCGTTATGAATTTTCTAAATAACATATATTCTTCATTCATGCAAGTAAATTAGCAAGGCTTGAAAGTTTCCAGGGTACAAATTCATATTTTAGCAGTCTACAACCTATAAATAAAAATATTACAAAAGTTACTTCTCCTGACGAACATAGCAAATCACGTGACAGCAATTATTTACATAAATTAAAAATGGAGGACAGAACGTGAGTCAACGTCAAAATTACTTCCATCCGTACTGGATTTTCTTGATTTTCGTACTGTTTCGAAAGATTCCTGCCACAATGTCCAAACCGGACGCTAGTTCGAATTCCGTTGAGGAGCTTCAAATAGAACTCGCTCGTTTGCAGCAGGAACTAACGGAGACAAACCAAGAAAAAATCCGAGCGGCAGAATACGGATTGGCCGTCCTTGAGGAAAAACATCAACTCGAGAGCCATATAGAGGAGCTAGAAGCTGAAAGAGATCAAATTAAAACTGAGTTAGAACATGCTAAAGAGGTATTTTTATTTAAGATAATATAGATAATAATTTTACGATTTTTTTTATTTTGAAACCTGCGTCTAAGGGGTCATCTCAAAACAATATGTGGTAATTTTTTTGACGTTTAGAATATACATGTGACATGTGTGTATTTTTTTAACCATAAAATTTCAACATATTTTTCTAAAAATTAAAGTCAAGAGGCTAAGGCCTCATCCATTTAAAGAGAGAAACCCTTGTCAACATTTTAGAAGTTCTAATTTCCCCATTTCTGGATGCTTAATAAGTTAATATGAATACAGTACTGGACACGCGAAACCCGCACAATTCGCGTATTCGCGGCGAACTCTCATGCTTTATAACGTGAGCGAAGTGGTGGCAACTTGAGACAATTGCCGCGAATTCAACTCGCGGCGATTATGCCGTGAACATTTGCCGTGATTCGCGGGGAATAATACATGTTCATTTGTATAATAAATGTAGATCTATTTATAATTGTACTCTGTGAACTTGAAACCAGATATACATGTACAAGTACGAAAATTGATTAGTAGATCTACATGAAGTTGTATCAAGAAAATCTTGTAATTTGCTTAAATGCCCTTTCTCTATTTATCTTTGATGCCAACAGCAAATATAAATAACCACGGCGAAATCAAAAGCACCGTTAAAAACTTTCCGTGAATGGCAGAATCATGACCACAATGTAATGCGACGCAGTACAAGTATGCGGCTCCATCGGCAGGTAAATAGTGTACATGTACACGTGTAAAAATATTTTTTAGGGGGGGGGATACATATTGAGTTTAAAGTACAGATATAAATATAATATACAGGGTTCTCGGGGACGCTTATTTCGGCGTCCCGGTACGCATGTTTATTACAGCTGGACGCAAATATTTCAGAGCAAGGATTCCACGTACGCTTAATTTTGCCTGGGGACGCATAAACATTACCGATTGTTTACAACCAGAAATACACAAATGCGTTAGCGCGTGTCAGTCTATAGGTAGGGGGTCCTATGCACATCGACCCATGAAGCGATTAGCCAATCAGCGATAACGCTTCCTATCATTATCACGCTATAGTGATCAGACTAATTAAATGTGTACACGCGCTGTACAGTTCATGTAATTCAGATATAACACAAGGTGATAGATCAACAGTTGATTGGAAATTAGCAAATTTTACCGACAAAAGGATAAAATTATCGACTATTTACGCCGCAAGTTTAAAGACTGTTTTCTCAATTACAAATGAGTGTAATTTGAATGATTGTCGAATATGTTCGCATAATAATGATTGTCGATTATTTTCGGCATTTTCTAGGCACAATTTTGCTTTAGTTTCATTCTTGCAAAATCGTTCTATAAGGGTATTAAGAATTTAAGATATTGTGCCGAAATGCCAGGTTCACATACGCTTTTCTTTGATATTTAGATTCTATCCGAAAATTGATCCAAACATCGGCGATTTCACGTTCGCCAGAAACCCTAAAATTTCGCAAAAATTCTCGGTTTCCACGCCAAACATGCGAATGAATTGTTCCTTTATTATTTAATAAACATTAAATCTTTAAAAATCAATCTTCAATTTGCCCCCTTTTGAAGATATTTGCTAAAATAATTGTCGATCGGATGAATCTCTTACACACTGTGTGAAGCTGTACACGATTTTCCTATTCATTCCGCTAAACGCTGCCTATATACATTTACGTTTTTCTTTTACAAATACAAACTTTTTGTCTTTAGAGTGGACTTATTTAACCAGAATAAAATTTGATTTGGTATAAAAGTGAAAAAAAAGACGATTTCCATGTGTTGATGCATTATAATGAAATAATTTCATAATAAATATTAACAACAAAACGATAATTATACTATGGAGTTTCTTTTGAATAACTATAAACTTTGGAAGTCTGTTGAAGATTCAAAATATCAGCAATGCTATTGTGAGCATTGAATGACTAATCTGTAAACATATTAATTGCGATGCGCTTTTGGACTCCAACTTTTTCAGGGTTGGGAGTCCATGGACTCCATGTTTTAAAGTCCTAGTGAGAACCCTGATATATGTGTAAAAAGATATTTAGTTACATAAAAAGATACATAATTGATACGACATTAACTTGTTCATTTCAAATGTATCCCCATATTCACGAATTCGAAAACCTGGCTAAACGCCGTTTTCCGGTACCTTCTGAAGTTCTGTACATAGCTCTGGGGAATTCATCTAGTGGAGTGTAATAGTGAACTCGATGTTTTCGGCCTTTTTTAAATTAAATTGAAATAAAACAATTATTTCTTTATAAGAAAATAATTAAATATCATTGTATGAATAATTCCATACAAAAAATAAAGTAAATACACAAGTTTACGCAGAAAATAACCTTATTTATTACGGAAGATTCCACTACGTCTGTTTAAATTTTATTGATTTTCATTATAAACAATTTATTTTTTGAAAAATTTGCAATAGATATTAAAAGAACATTGATCATTTTCAAATACATCAAGTTTTTCCACCTTAAACGGTAAAATAATGATAGAAAAACAAAAATTTATGTTAGAGTGTTATGTACTTCATTATGTGTAATTCCCCAGAGCTAAATCGGTAACGTACCGGAAAACAGAGTTTAGCTAGGTTTTCGAAAAGGTCAATTGAAAACGTTACATAAGACATAAATTCAAGCATGGTCAAATTACCGATGTGATAAACTAATCCTGCGTAAATATTCCCGTACGACCTGGAAGAGTTATAGTGGATCACCGGGACATTTCGTTCTCTCAGGTGATCATTACTCAATTTATTACACGTCTGTAAAAAATAACACACGCAAGATTTGTCTCCTATAATTTCTGAATGGCGGATATTTGCACCCCTGTTTTAAAAATGTTAAAATATTTAATTGTTAGTTACCGAAAATTATCGCCGATTGTTGAAATTCCATAGCACTAAAAGACACAAAAACACTTGCGCAAAAAGAAGCATCCATAAATAAAAGGAATATAATGTTTCCATTGTTAAATAATAAATACAAAATTTACACACGAAATGACCACTGACAAATGACTGGTCGGCTCTTCTGAAGAATCTGTGAATCTTTGATGTTTACACACCTGTAGTTGTTGCCGAATCATCAAAGAAATGCCAACACTCGATTGACTTCCACCTCTTTTTTATATATCAGAAAAAAACAGTCATTTCTTTTTGTCAAGGAATGATTACACATGTTTAATTATTGCTCAAGTAAAAAAAAATGTTGGATATTGATTGTGTCAATTATTGACATATTATTAATCGTAAGTGCATTTTGATTGTGATATTTTATTTACATTTTTATGATCTTGAAGATATTGTGCAATACTTGTGTCTGCTATCAAAACAATAATGCATATGAAAGGACCACAGCTTCCAAAAATTTATTTTTTCGGTCAATTTTATGACAGAATCCCCGCTGCTACCAGAAATGTTTTATTATTATTTATGTAAATACTTTAAATAGTAACACCCTAATTTTATGCACAGAATGCCCTCATGAATGATCACTCGTTACTTTACATATTAAATGTGTGATTTAACTCCGATTTTATTTTTGTTTTCGAGGGAATTTTTTGGGTCGAATGCCCTGGCTGATTTGGCGGAAATAAAAAAAAAATCTGATTTGCATCTTGCTACTCATCACCTACTCATGCACCTGGCATTTTTTACTCGTGAAATTGAAGGTAAAGAATGTCTCAATTTAAGTGATAAAACTTCTACAATTTTCAACAATCATAATTAGCGTATTAGACGTAATAATTAGTTACACCTGTGAATCGGTGCTAAATGTCGCTTTGCATTGTTCTAAAAATAGAATATGTGCGAAATCAACAATGGATTTTAATTACATTTGTATTATTATCAAAATAACAATTGGACAATTTGTTATCGTGCGTTCTTTGATGTAGTACCAATTACCTTTTGTAATTTCAATCTCGTTTTATTGTTAACTAATTTTCACCAGCACCTGATTGCTTTGTTTTAGTATACAAAATGTATACGCTGTACATGTTCAAATGCTAAATATTTATAAATATACATGACATTTACAAGATTTTTTTTAAAGTTTTCAAAATTAAAGACCACGGGAATGCCCAAGTAGTACTTTCTAATACAATTATTGTAAATTACGGCGATACATCGCAGCGATTTTTCGTGAACCGCCATGAAATTCGGCGAACTTGCACGCGGCGATGTTTTATCGCGTAGTGTCCCGTCGCTACATAGACTACACTCGCGGCATAACGCGACTTTTGCGGGTTTCGCGTGTCCAGTACTGTATTAATAGTTAAATATGAATGTTATATATATAATATATAGAGAGGGAACAAGACACTCCCCCTCTGACACTTCACGCCTCAAATTTTGAGATGTGTAGTCTAGATAATAGAATTTATTGATAATATATTGGCCTGTAAAGGCAATAATATTAATAATTTAAAAATGTGAATGTTTTTAACCCCAACAGTTTTACCAGGTCACGGATTACAGTCTGCAATTTTAGGATCATTCATAAATATTTTGAGTTTGTAAAAAAATATCAATTACAAACTTCATGACCACTGTATATTTTGTAAAAGTGGGTGCAGTACCCTTAATAAGTAACTTGCTTTAGTTTTGAAAAAAAAATCTGTTAAATTCCAATGTAGGTACATAAGTGCCAAATATGAAAAAAAATTACCATGACACATAAAGTGATAAACTGGATTCAATGTCAGTAGCATTCAACAATGTTTTATACATACATGTTCGGTAATTAAGGTTTTTATACTGATGTGGTTGATATTTTAGCTGATTGTGTTAGAACTTGAATGAAATAAGTATTCAGGATATGTCGAAGATCATATATTAAAAGAATGAAATGTATTTATTATTGTAAACAATATGTAATTTTGTAATTATTTAGACCCTAGAAAAATTCATTGAGGCCTGTGATGTACAAAGATAATATTCTTCATTGGAATTAAAAGCCTAAGTTTAATTTTTATCAAAGGCAAATATTTATATGTTCATAAATTGCATACTGTGATAGTTTTTTACATTGTGCAATTGTTGTTGATTTTCTAGACATTACCTGCTCTAATGTTGTTAAAATCAGCTGAAAAGAAATGTATATTACTATATTGCTGTTAATGTTGCAATTATTTACCTATTTTGCTAACTTGAAGACATTTTACATTTACAGACCCTCAGTACACATCAAGGGATTTTTAAAAAACAGAATGAAAGTGGAATCAATCTCGAGGACAGTATTATACGTGAGTCAGTGTCGCGTGAGCAGGGATTCCAGGAGAATATTCAGGGTCTTGAAACTGAGCTTAAAACCTGCAAACAGAATCATGAGAGACTCTCTTCTGAGCACACTGTCATGGCAAACCTGGTTTCTGAGCTACAGACCAAATGTGATCAGCTGGAGGACCAGAGAAGGCAGTTAAAGAGTGAACTGAAAGAGTATAAGATAAGAGAGAATAGGAACATTGTGGACTATTCTGAATTGGAGGAAGAAAACATATCTCTACAAAAGCAAGTGTCTGTGTTAAAACAAAGTCAGGTTGAATATGAAGGGTTAAAACACGAGAAGAAAAGATTGGAAGAAGAGCTAGATGATTTGAACATGCAGTTAGATGAAAGTGTTTCTTTGAAAAAGATTGTTGATAAAAATCTTGAAGAGGCATTGAATGCATTGCAAGTTGAAAGAGAGCAGAAGCATGCCTTAAAGAAAGAACTTGATGCTAGACTAACACAAGAATCTATGTTTAATTTGAGTAATTTAGCTCAGCTTGGTGGTCTCAGTGATGGTTTAAGATTAAACAATCATGAAGGTGATGTAGATGAGGAAGATGGACATCCTGCACTGAAAAGAGTTGAAGCAGACTATGAACACAAAGATGAAAATCAGCCTGCTAGAAAAGGCCCTGGTAAAGTCAATGATATTCTTAGTGAAATTCAACAAAATGAAGTGAAAAAATTGGAACAAATGCTTGAACAGAGTGAAGAAGAAAAAATTGAATTGCAAAGGGCATTGGATGAAGCAAAGAAATTAATTGAAGATACACAATCTGATCTTATTGAACAAAAAGATAGAGCAAATCAGTTGAAAACACAGATAAGTGCAGCTTTGGCAAATGGTAGTCTTGATTCCTCACCAGACAGTGATATGACAGATTATTTAGATGAACAGATTGAAAACGAATCTGATCAAGGAAAGAAAGCCTTGTTAGAGATGAAGAAAAATTTACTTATGAATGAAAAGAAATATTCCTCTGCACTAAAGCAAATCAATGATCTTCAGTCTGAAATAAGTAATTTGATGGATAAAAACAAACAAGGAAATCTAAAAGAAGGTGATCCTGCCATTACTGAAATTCTTAACCAGCTTCAAGCTAAGGTGAAACAATATGAGGATGTTGTTAAAGACATGAACAAAGACTTGAAATCAATGACCAAGATTGCTGGTGAATCACAAGGCTCTTTGAACATGACACAGGAGGAAATGTTGAAAGTAACTGAGGAACTTGCCCAACTTTATCATCTTGTGTGTGAAGTAAGTGGAGAAACACCAAGCCGTGTTATGCTTCAGCATGCTAAAGCTATTGACAAACTGTCCAAACAAGACTCAAGGGAAGGAGCTGAAGACCAAGGGGAAAAAGAAGAAGGTGGTACTGAAAAGGAAAGTGGTAAAAAGAAAAGGTCCAAATCTAAAAAGAGTAGATCTGAAAGTTACGAGGACTCTGTAAAAGCTGATGCTAACTCCTGTCAAAAATTAACAGAAACAATTCTTGACCAGACAAAACATCTGAAGAAGTCTGTTGAACATCTGATGGAAGTTTCTAGAAATAGAACTGATGATAATGAACAGTCAGATGCTCAAGAATTACAGGAACAGATCGTCAAGCTGAAGGCAATGTTGTCAACTAAGAGAGAGCAGATTGCAACATTAAGAAGTGTTCTTAAAGCCAATAAATCAACAGCTGAATTTGCTTTGGCAAACTTGAAACAAAAGTATGAAAATGAAAAAGTTATAGTAACAGAAACAATGTTGAAGCTAAGAAATGAACTCAAAGCATTAAAAGAAGATGCTGCCACTTTCGCTTCCTTAAGAGCTATGTTTGCCCAACGTTGTGATGAATATGTCACCCAGCTTGATGAATACCAACGTCAACTTGCTGCCGCAGAAGAAGAGAAGAAGACCCTGAATTCCCTCCTACGAATGGCTATCCAGCAGAAACTCGTGTTGACACAGAGACTAGAGGATTTGGAATTCGACCGAGAGAGACGGAACATGCGTAGACCGCAAGGAGGCGGCGGTAGAAACAAGTCTGGCGCTTCCAAAGTAAGTCACTACAATGATGAACAGTCATATAGTGGTCGCTATGGGGGAGGCAGACACCATAACTATCAAAATCATCATAGCCATTCAAATCCAAGACGCGACTATTAGAACTTGAATCCTCCATCCCTGCAACTACCAGTTTATTTTAGGGTAAGTCCTGCAGTCCGCTTTCCCAAAAACACTCATATCCTATAACGTATACATACTCTGTAGAGCGCTGAGGTTTTGTTTTTCTCTGTCGGTTATACTCACATCTTCTCTCATTGGTAAACGGCACATTCCTCCCACTTTGCTTGCTTGGGCATTAGGTTCACAACCCATTCTAAAAATAACCCAGACAATATCAATGAATTATAGAAATATAGATCTTTTAGTCAGGCAGTAGGTGCGTGAAAAGAAAAACTAAGTAATGTTAACAGAGGTGTCTTTTGGCTTGTAACTAAATTTACTGAGAATTTTTTTTTTAAGAATATAAGATATTTGAATGGCTTTATCAACTTAAGTTCCAACATATATATAGAGGTTTTAATAATTTTATAATAGACTACCAATTTATTCAATGTAATGGGATATTCACTACATGTCACAAAATGATTTTTTCGTCCAACAACAGTCAATTTCGTTTATAAATTACTATCTAGCAACTTTACAGTATGAAATTTTCCTAGGTATTTGGGAGCATGCTTGATAGACTTAACTCACAATAAAAACAGGTATGTATTCATTTTAAAGGCTTGTTATATAAGGGTGCTTGCATATCTTGACTCATATATCCACCTAACCAGCCACCCTTAGAAATTTCTTGCTTTGGAAGTGAAGAGCCAACAAAATATATATCTACCTGGCTTATTAATACGCAGATTGCTCTTGTGGCAGAAATACAGTCTTGCTAGTTTTATCCATACCTGCTTTAAACAGTCGAAAACACTACTGCCCAGAGGGATTGTTAAGTAAAACAAGTTGAATAAATCTATGATTTTAGTTACTTGAAGAAAGTCTCAAGATTGTCCCCAAAGAATAATTTTTCTAGTTTCTAAGTCTTTCCAATAGAAATTCATTACGTTTGAATTAATCAACTTCAAATTTTGCAGACTGATTAAACAGCATATTCTGTGTTAAAAGTTTTCAGGCGTGTTTGCTGGAAAAATTTTACAAGTTTGAGATGCCCCCCCAAGCAGCAACCAGCTTTTTTCGCCTTTTGACTGATAAGTTGGAAATATTTACTAGGGTATAATGAATTAATGGATAGAATACTTGAACATTACCATGCATACTCAATGAAACTTAGTCAACTTCTCTCTGATATATCGGGAGAACATTTGAAATTTATTATACACAGCAAAAGTTTTTGCCTGAATCGCCCTCTGGATTCAAAATCAAATGTACGTCACCCCAAAATAGAATATAAAAACCAAATCTCTATGGGTGGTATTAGACACAGTTAACACATAAAAGCTCCTTCATTGATCCACATCATACATATATTTGAGCCCCGCCATGACAAAACCAACATAGTGCGTTTGCGACCAGCATGGATCCAGACCAGTCTGCGCATCCGCGCAGTCTGATCAGGATCCATGCTGTTCGCTATCTGAATTTCTGTACTTGTAATAGAATTGGTAAGCGAACAGCATGGATCCTGATCAGACTGTGCAGATGCGCAGGCTAGTCTGGATCCATGCTGGTCGCAAACATGCAATGTTGGTTTTGTCATGTATTTATTAAGATATAAACAATCATATACATTGTTTTTTGTGTAAGTCAAGAGTAAGTGGTCATTTCTGATATAAATAAGATAGATTATACTTTCCTTAAAAAGGAATTTTTTTTTTTTTTAATTTCTTGCATGAATAATTGATACTAACAGAATACATTATAATTAACAATATTACTTTATTAACATCACATTTTAATTTCAATTTATGGTATTGGTCTAACACTTTTAGCACTGTTTCTTTCTGTTTTTAGCTCACCTGTCACAAAGTGACAGGGTGAGCTTTTGTGATCGCTTTTCGTCCGGCGTCCGTCCGTCCGTCGTCCGTCCGTCCGTAAACTTTTACTTTAAATGACATCTCCTCATAAACCACTAAGCCAATTTCATCCAAACTTCACAGGAATGATCCTTTGGTGGTCACCTTTAAAAATTGTTCAAAGAATTTAATTCCATGCATAACTCTGGTTGCCATGGCGACCGAAAGAAAAAACTTTAAATATCTTCTTTTAAAAAACCATAAGAGCTAGAGCTTAGATATTTGGCATGAAACATCTTCTAGTGAGTGTCTACCAAGTTTGTTCAAATAAAAGCCCTGGGGTCAAAATTGGCCCTGCCCCGGGGGGTCATTGATTTTCCCTATATGCATATAGTAAAAACTTAAAAAATCTTCTTTTAAAGAACCCAAAGAGCTAGAGCTAAGATATTTAGCATGAAACATGTTCTAATGGGTGTCTACCAAGTTTGTTCAAATAAAAGCCCTGGGGTCAAAATTGGCCCCGCCCCATGGGGGAGTCATTGATTTTCCCTATATGCATATAGTAAAAACTTAAAAATCTTCTTTTAAAGAACTCAAAGAGTTAGAGCTTAGATATTTGGCATGAAACATCTTCTAGTGAGTGTCTACCAAGTTTGTTCAAATAAAAGTCCTGGGGTCAAAATTGGCCCCGCCCCGGGGGGTCATTGATTTTCCATATATGCATATAGTAAAAACTTAAAAAATCTTCTTTTAAAGAACCCAAAGAGCTAGAGCTAAGATATTTATAATGAAACATGTTCTAATGGGTGTCTATCAAGTTTGTTCAAATAAAAGCCCTGGGGTCAAAATTGGCCCCGCCCCGGCGGGGTCATTGATTTTCCCTATATGCATATAGTAAAAACTTAAAAAATCTTCTTTTAAAGAACTCAAAGAGCTATGGCTAAGATATTGAGCATCAAACATGTTCTAATAGATGTCTACCAAGTTTGTTCAAATAAAAGCCCTGGGGTCAAAATTGGCACTGCCCCGGGGGTCATTGATTTTCCTTATATGTGTATAGCAAAAACCTTAAAAAATCTTCTTTGAAAAAACCCAAATAGCCAGAGTTAAGATATTAAGCATGAAACATCTTTTAGTGAGTGTCTACAAAGTTTGTTCAAATAAAACACCTGGGGTCAAAATTGGCCCCGCCCTGGGGGTCATTGATTTTCTTTATATGTGTTTAGCAAAAACTTTAAAAAAATCTTCTTTTAAAAAGCCCAATGAGCTAGAGCTTTAGATGTTTAGCATGAAACATCTTCTTATGGGTGTCTACCAAGTTTGTGCAAATAAAAGCCCTTGGGTTAAATTGGCCCTGCAACGTTGGGGGGGGGGGTGGGGGTTGGGGGGCCTATATACAGGTGAGGCGACCTCAGGGCCATCATGGCCCTCTTGTTTTAACATTTGACTGAAAAGTCGAAATTTTGGACAGACCGAAATAATTCTGACCTAAAGGCAAGATTTAGTGTTACATAATGTGTGCCTCATCCTATTTCATGTCAAATCGATTGGAAAATATGATTTACGGTTAGGTTACATCATTATGTACATAAGATAGTAAAGGGCAAAAAGAATGCAGAGCAAGTATTGGCATGTGTATTTACATGTATGACCAGAAGTGTATGTAGATATAAGCAACTTATTAATGAGATAAGAATTTAGGAGTGCTAAATAATTTATACTGGTAAACATTTTACCAGTACAGGCCAAGGGATTGTGCAAATACCATATTTACAACACAGTTTCATAATTATATATATATAAGATCAGCTTAAGGGGGGAAGGAAAGTTTGGCCTCTTATCAAGAAATACCATAAATACTTTTAAACACAGTTTTGATTAAGGTGTTAAATTTCTTTAAATTTCTTAACGTTTTGTTAAATTTTGTAAGTTACAGCTCTTGTTCATTCAATGAATTTTTATTGTATTTTAATTAGGTTCAATTACAGTGTACAATTAAGTTTTGAGTACCTCACAACCTGGCAAGTTGCCTCAAAAATTATTTTAATCACCAACATTTCACCCTCCACCAATGTGGGTATGACTGCTTTAAGTAATCTCATTTGTTGATGTCTTGATTTTGAATAATAAAACCCATTTGTTTTGATTTTGAATAGTAAAACCCCTTTGTCTTGATTTTGAATAATAAAACCCCTTTGTGCCCTCCACTCCCCACCTCCTAGTTAGACTATTAGCTCAGTAATCCACAGTAAAGAAAGGGGTGCTTTAAATCTTAATTCAAATCCCCCAAAAAAATGTTTGGGATAAAAATAAGTGTTTCAGGTAATATTCCAATCTTTAGAAACCAATGACTGAGGTCAAAGAACAGGAAAAAGCAGATTTTGAAATTACATGCCCTTTTGCTTTTAGTAGACAGTTTTATATATACATGGTAAAAGATTTAGTTTGGTACAGATATGAGCACAACTTATTACTAGTATTGTTCTACTTTTATTGAAATGTACATGTGACACTGTCAAGTACAACCTTTGTTGTTAGTGTAACTATTACTTGGTGGTAATAAACTCAATCAAACAAGCAACAAACTTCCTGAAGATGAGTCTAATAAAATATATACTTCTGTTTCATATATAGACAATTTGTAGGGTGTATCATAAAATGTCATGCAGGGAATCTTATCATCATATCAGCTGACTCATTCAACACAGCTTGATGCAAATAAGCTTCAACAACAACAACAACAGCAATTCAAGTTTTTCTTGATATTTCACAGTGTAGGTTTTTGTTCAGAGTTTTAGAAGCATGAAGAATAGGGTGATTTAAACGTTAATAAACCTCGTTTTTTAACAATTTATCACATTCAAATCTCAAATTACTGTCTCAAAATTGAGTTCACCTCAATACTGAATTTCGGGAGCTGGCAATTCATGGATGAATTATCAAAAATGTTGACTTAAAATTGATATTTTAAGTGATTAAATTTTTTTCCATATGTCCCAAATTTTAAAGATAATTTTGAATTAGAACAAATTTCTAACATAATTGGTATGGGACAAAATCAAATGTAATCAAAAAAAGCAACCAGAAAATATATTGAAATGTGTGAGGCATTTAGATAATTGACTTTGCCTACACAGTTGAAATGAATTTTAAATGCAAAATTCATCCTTTATTTGCATTAGATGTATATAAAATTTAAAAAATATTGCCACAATATACAAAATAACCCATTCAAGCTGTAAAAAGGGAAAAATAGAGAAAAAAGCAAAATGCAGAATTGATGAGGAAATAAAAGGTTTTTATTATGCTATACATATTTCAATGGATTTGTATTTCATGAATAGAAAGTTCCATCAGTTGATTGTACAATTATTGATTATCAGTAAATTCTTGAAAAAAAGGATAGTCCCTGTGCAGTTGCCGATCTCATCATCTCAATGTAGGACGCGATTGATTGATAAATTAAAGCTGTACTGTTTAAAAACTCCTCTATAAATGGTGATTGATTATGATTAGATTTATGGGAAAGTTCTCACTAAAAGTTCATTTCTTTAAAGGAAGGGTTTGCTGCCACAGAAAACCACAGTTACAAAGCTATATACATGTGTATAGACTATAGTGATACAAAACCATTACAAATTAACCACCTTTAAACTTGTCACCTGTGATGTTTTGACATGACAGTAAATCAGAGGTCATTGATCAAGCTCAAGTGAAAAAAAAAACCTACCATCTACATAAAGAATGACAAGCATAAATTAACAGAAGATGCATTAGCTATTAGGTAAATTTTAAGGTTTAATGAATGTACGTTATCCAACAATTCATCATTTGAAATTTAAACAAGAAACTGAAGTTTCAATCTTGTTAACCAATTATAATTCTTGTTGCATTTAGAAGTTGCCCACAGGTGCTTTTGTCATTGAACAACTTCCCTACTGGTGTTTGTGGCATTGAACAACTTCACCACAGGTGCTTGTGGCATTAAACAACTTCCCCACAGGTGCTAGTGGCAATTAAACAACTTCTCCACAGGTGCTTGTTGCAATTAAACAACTTCCCTACAGGTGCTTGTGGCATTGAACAACTTCACCACAGGTGCTTGTGGGAATTAAACAACTTGCTTCTAGGTCACTGAGGTAACACAGTATTTAGTACAGTCACAGTCAGGTCAGCCTCACCATAATTCAAGTTAACAATGAACTGTTCTGAAATTCAGCGCAGGAAGAGTCCATTTTACAAGTATGGCAGTTCAAGTGTAAAAATATTACTGCAGGTGTTTGTTTCTTCTACACAGAACATTTTTAGTACATGTATAATTTGAATATGTCTTGCGATGTACAAACTTGAAAATGCGTAGTAACATATTTTCTAGTCTATCATGCACATTTTACAGACAATTAAGTTTCCTCCGTTGCTCTCAGGAGGAGAATATTTACTTTCACAAGCTTACTATGTCATGCAGCATGAATATGCAGAAAATACAAGATACAGTCATCTGCCAAGAATGTTCGATTATTGGACAGATATCTCCTTTCTCTCTCTTTCCCTTCAACAGTATAATGTCTATTAGTAACTGTATCACAGGCACACAAACACACAATTCCCAACTAAATGTATTGACATTCTTCAATTCTACAGGTTTTTTTTAGAATTCTTTCACATTTTTTGTGATGAGAAATTTTTATTGGTAAAAAAACATGGACAGTGTTAATTTATAGATTAGTTGATATTTGACAAGGGTGGTCCTGGTATTTGAAGGTAGTTATTGATTTGTACATGTATGCAATTCAGTGCATATGTACTTAGAAATTCTAAATTTTTCTGGCTTACTTAATTCTGCAATGACATCATATGCTATTTTAACATCACATTCAAATATCTCAATTTCATTGTGAATAAGGTGGTTTTTAGTGTCTCTCTTAAGAGATGTATGGTATATATTTAACAAACCTAGAATGAAATAAATCATGTCAGTTATTTCATTGATAGATTCAACCCCAATTTAACACAATGATGCATTTAAAACTTATGCAAAGCTGTCTGGTAGGTATACCAATTAAAAGAGTTTATATCCAATTAAAATAGTTTCTCACACTGATCGTTGAATAAAGTGTGCTGATGATAAAATACCCCACCTGTTGATCCTTTTATGACAGTAAATCTTAGTTAGTTGGTTTAAACGAGGGTTATTAAGTTGTGTTTTCTGACAACGTAAAATGGAGGTGGATGGCCAGTGATTACTTTAAAAAAACAAAATTCTTTGACCTATGGCCTGTTTGCTGTTTGACAGCCGACTGGTATGGTAGTTTTGGTAGGGTGTCGTACATCTTGGAAGGGTGGGTAGAGGATTAGGACCGCAATCTTGGGTCACAGGTTGAGGGAGGGCGTCTTGCATATGAGTCAGCAAGGGTTGGACTCTTTAATTACAATTCATGCTTAAACTTTTACAGGATCATGCAAAGAGGAGCTTAAGTTTGTAGATATTATTGATCTTATTGGGCAAGGGTCCACGGACAGCTCTTTAAATTTGTTCACAAGTAAAGGGTACTGGTACTTTATTTAGAGAACTCTTTATTCTCTTCTTTGATTTTACTTTTCTTTTTCTTTCAACCTTTTTCAGGGCCGCTTCTGTCCAGTTTTGAGCAGTAAAAAGAGCGATATTCCTTAGTGGACACAAAAAAAAGCGACATTTACTTATATTCTTGTTGTGTTTTGAATTATGAATGTGCCTTGTAAAATTGAAAAGAATATCATTCAAATTGTGATATAACACTTTTTAAAAGTGTAAAAATGTTCAGACATTAAGTGTTCATCATTGCCTCATGTTAGATTTCTTCATGTGTCATCATATCACTTGTTAACCTCAAAGGTCACTGTCTAAAAAAATGATTGATTATTTGATGAAATTAGCATAACAGAAGAAATCTTTATCAAATAGTCAGAATTTATCCTTTTTTTTTCATACAAGTTAAGTTTGAAAAAGCTAATAGCATTTAACTATACATGTGACGGAATATAATATATCTATGTGATTGATAGAATAACTATGGTATATGCTGAAAAAAATCATGAAATTTTTTTTATGAGTAAAAATTCTGACTGAAAAATGGATTGGTCACAAATGATTTCCATTATTAATAAACTATTAATTTTCCATGGAATTTTTTTTTATTTCCAACAGAAGTCTCTTAATGTGATAATGAAAAACCTTTGATAAAAAATATTTTACACTAGAATTCACTTGCTATGAAATTTTGGTGCTTATTAGATAGGATATTTTCACTACTTCATACAGGCGCCAGATGTATAACATGTTACATGGTGCTTTAATTTTTGCTCCTGTTGTAAAGGAGGAAAAGGCAATAATTTCTATAAATATTGTTTTGTGTAAAATGAAAACTAAGCATGTAATTGTTGGGTATGAGGTGTCAATTTACTTTTAGGAACAATGCTTTTCATTCCCGGGAAGTTGCTCAAGTTCCAGAGCAAACAGTATGTATCCTGTACTTTTATAGCGTTTCTCCTGTACCTCTATAGTACTTTCCTGTACTTCTGTAGTACTTCTGTAGTACATGTGTATAGTTATATACTTCTTGTTGTTTTAATTCTTCACTCATCATACATTTTGTTTTACTTTTTGTTGTACATTTCTCTTGCAGTAAAGTTATCTATATGTAAGTTTATTTTAGCTTTTGATTTAATTTGGATATATTTTTAGTTTTCCTGTGTAGTTCATCTTTTATATTTCCCTCTTTTGTTTTACTTTTGTTGTACATTTCTCTTGCAGTAAAGTTATCTAAATGTTAGTTTATTTTAGCTTTTGATTTAATTTGGATATGTTTTTAGTTTTCATGTGTAGTTATGCTTTATCTTTCAAGCAATTTGTTTGTTTTTTTGGTGCTTTTCACATTTTTTTGCACAGTGACATTATCTGACGGGTGTTGTCATTTTATCTGAAAGTTGTATAAATTGCTTTTTAAATTCTTTTAGTTTTATCTGGAAATTGTGTGAAGCACTTTTTATGTGGTAGATTAAAAACTTGAAGAGTCTAAGAAAGTGTATTTAAGAAATGTATGTTTCAAGTTTTATAACAGTAATTCATGTGCCTTAGGTAAGAAATTCGTAATTTCCTTCTAATGTAGCAAATGTGACATTTTGATAATCTTGGTATTCTTTAGAATCCATGTAGACTAGTCAGTAAAACCATCAATACTTTTGAAAGTAATTTTGTAGACTGTACTGTCTGAATTATAATTTGATTTATTGTGTTCATCATATTGCCAGTCATTTACATTTGTATATTCATCATGTCTATCCCCATCATTGTTTTTTGGCCAAAACTTTAAAACACCTTGATCTCTTGCTTTAACAATTAACTTTTATAGGCTTAACTATACATGTATGTATTTAAGTATAATTAGGAAAACTTTGTATAGTGTGAAATAGAAAAATGTCATGGAGGGGGTGGGGTGGCAAACAAGAGAAAATGTGTTGGTTCTTGCAAAACTGAACAGTTTGTTCATAATACTGGCGGCCTGCCTAATTTATGAACATGAACTTGCCCAGAATTTGGAACAGTCAAGTTAAGTGATTTCAATGTCAATTGAAATACAAAAACTAAGGTACCAACAGTATAAGTCAGGCTACATGGTCATACAGGCTGGCCTGACAAAGGCTAATAATCAATTTTGGTTGCAGCAGACTTAAAAGTTTAAACATATTTAGTTAACACTTGTCTTGCATCAAACCACATAAGTGTGAATAATTTCCATTTTATGGTCATGTTATTTTATCCTGATGTAATGTTTTGGCTACTAACAGGATTAATTTACCTTGTTACTGCTAGAATAGATAAAACACATGTTGACTGCTTATTAGCATAATATACATATATACACTTCTTATTGCAGAAGAACATAATAATATATTCTACTAGGTTATTGTACATCTTATTCTCGTGGGATACAGATATCTATATTGTTTATCTGTTACATCATTTGATTGCTGTCTGGTATGCAATTTGTATTTGTTCTATTCAGAGCAGCTGAAGAATGCTTTGAAATTGTGTCATTTGAAAGTATACTTGTGTATTAATTAGCAGTTCGTACAGAGTAGTGTTTCACCTTGCTGAATTCTGTTCTGATCATGTTGTCCACTTTGATTATTGTAAAATACTGGTTCATTGTAATTAAGTTAAGTTAGACTTGTTTATTTTAGCGCTAATGTTTGGATATCACTCTGGGGGCATGGTCCTGCATTATTGTAGCTAAGTTGCTAGCATAGAGGTTGACTGCTTGTGTTCTTGGTTGATTTATTAAATTTACAGTATTCTGGTTTGTTGGATTGATTTGTCATTACAATACATTTGTAATGGATTTTTTATTTGCTTAGTTCATTTGGCTTTCAATGTTCTAATATTTTACTTTTACTGCTTACTGATTGAATAAATAGAATATAGAAAGATAATTGATTAACTGTTTACAAAATTCACTTATTTATATAAACTGTTAACAGATACAAATTTGTGGTCATGCTTTCAGTTCTTAAAGAAAATAATGATCATATTGTAAAATATCCTCATACATGTCATAATGAACATTGGCAGAAACGTATCTTATCTAGTGATAGAATCAACAATAATTATCTGATGTTAAAACTGAAGTGAAACATGTGCTCTAATGTAATTCTATTTATAAAAATGTCAATTGTGCCCTTAGGGATATACCAAAAAAATTTAATTAATTTAATCAAAAGTAACAAAAAACATGCATGTTTGTAACAATGTGCTACTGTAGGGGGTTGTCTCAAGATTACTCTATTTTGGTCCATATCAATAAATCAATTGCATAGAAGCTTGTTCAGTCAAGTTGAAGCATCTATATTATATCGATCAGGAAAGTCTGTTTTAACTCTTACATAAGCAAAAGAGATTTATTTTCAATATTATGTTTGAACATTCATTCATTGGCCTGTTCGATATCATAGATGCTAGAAGTTAGAACCAAATGATGTTCACGTCTAATTTGATGACTTGTGTCTGAATATCCACTGTTTGACAAAAGAAAGTTTACCGTAACATTTTGCATGATAAATGATTGTCAGGATATAATTATTAAATCTTTTTGAGTCAAGTGTTGAAAATTAGCAGTAGTCTGATAGCCTGTGACTACCTAAATTTCTCTTCGGGCTACCAATACAAATGTACTTTTCAGTTACAAGCCCGACTTTAAACAACTGTTTTGAACAAATGAATCGTGCTAGTGAAATATCTTTATGGCTACAGTAGTGAATATTGTAATCTGGTAGTGCGACCAGCCTACTGATTTAAATCCGAATTTTGTACACAATGTGAGCCTAAATTTTATATCTACTGATTTTACTCATTTATTTGATAAAGATATATACATATACAATGTATAATTATATGAAACTGTGACAGGTTTCTAAAAATATGATTGCATAATATTAAGATGATATTATATCTTAAATTGCTCAGACCATCTCACAAAAAGACGCCAAAAGTAAATGCATGTTTGTTGTTATAAAGTTATAATGTACGTTGTTTAGTTTCTTTTATTTCCTTTATAGCGTATAATCTAACCCTTGGTCTGCTAGAGCCACTAGTATAAAGCCAGGCCAGCCTGCACATCTGTGCCCTCTTGCCTGAGGCTGTAGTGTGACTTGAAATTTTCATCTTGATATCAACAGAATTGATAATGGGCAGTTCCAAAAAAGAAAGTTGGGCAAGTCCATTTAAGAAATACAACATTTCATGGGTTAAAATCTTTAATTTGTTTTGATTATGATAAACATTGGTAAAAAGTTTCTCTAATCGTATTCAGATTGCTGCTTTTTGTTTGTTAAAGTATTGGTTATGATATATAATAAGCTATGTAAATGATAGTGTAGTTTTTTTGGTGCTTTTATAGTTGTCTCCATACACATTATATCCATATAAAAAGTAGAATAGAAAAATTACTATTACAAGCATATCAATTAATAAAACATGGCCACAAGCTGTAATGGTATATATATATGATATCAAGTTTTGTTTTGTTTCTATTTTGAAAGTTTGATGTTGACTATGACTTTTACCATGCAATTATTTGTATAATGATACAAGTAAGAAAGTTGAATATTGTATTTCATGCAACAAGTGTCTGCATGTAGTCTCATCCATGTAAGATGGTTGAAGATCTTATATCATAGCATTTTTAGACAATAATTGTATCTAATTGTATCTAAGTCTCATGCAGCCATTTCTGTTTGCCTTTGGCAAATAATCTGTCAATGTAATACAAAATTATCTCATTTAGTTACTATGGTCAGTTCCCTTTTCCTCAGGTCCTAAATTTGATCCAGTCTCAGAAATGGTTCATTGATAATTCTGTCAATTTGGAGATGACTGACTGATTAGCTTGAAAGGGAAAGAAATAAGTCTGTACATCTCAGATCCTCAGTAAGTTCTGAGCTGGCAATTTGATTAAAGATAATATGTCATGTTTAGACATAAATCTATTTCAGGAGAAAATGGCAAAACTGGTAAATACACATACAAAAATGAAGCAAAAAAACCCCAAAAAACTTGCTTATAGTCTCTTTCAGGCAGATTAAGTTCAGTTTTAAAACTGGTACATTTCAAAACATACCAATTCTATTAACAAATATTTGTTTAGAAAAATAATCTCTTTAATTAAAACTGAATGATCTTTGATTTTAGATTGAAATCTATATGTAAACCAGTGATCATGTTACAATTATTGTCATATTGATGAAATCTGTTCTTTTTATGAATAAAATATCAACTTTGGTGACCCTGGTCTGATGAAAATGTCAAATTTTAGCAGAGGTTTGGATACCTAAATACTTAAGTGTTTGATAACTTTCAAAAGTTTTATCTGTTTTGATAATACAAACGCAAATTTTAAGGTATTGTAGATAAAATTTCAATCGATCATACATACATTTGTATTTGACAGTTTTAACAAAATATTTGTGAAATATTTGTAAAATGTTTTGACTATCGCAATTGATATTCAATCGTGGAATATTTAGAGTATGTCAATCATAGACAATACTTCCTAAACTCGTAAAAGTTATAAGTCGCCATATGGCATTTATTTTACTGACAATGTCATACTTCTTCCAGAGTTATGAAAATCTCCAAAATGTTATCTCACACTGAAATCCCAATATCTTCATAAAGAAAATCCATATGTGTGCAGAATCTTGTTCAAAGCATTTTGCTTGAAACAGTACAAATTAATACTGACAATGGGAACAGTTTTCTGTGAACTCGGTCTGATAAATGATACTTGTATGTTAGCTGTTCATATAGGCAAAAACAATGTCATACCTGTGAAATTTGCTTGTAATTTCTATGCTAACATCAGACTAACAGTTGTTGTAACGTCTTGTGAACAAACAAAAAATGGCTTTAACATGAAAAAACAAGGTGATAATGTAGTTCAGTAAGAGAAGAAAAAAGTGATTTCTCGTTCAGTAAATTAATTTACACCTGTTCTCTTTCTGCATGATATGTTGTCTGGCACTGGTGTAGCAGTACAACAAATAGCGTTTTGTGTGTCTGCATTTTTTACGTGCAGGAACATTTTTGTTGCTAATTTAGTTCTACCTGTTATTTTTTAGAAAGTTTTATGTACTTCAAAAAACCAGTTTTGATACTTATCCTTCATAAAATTAGTATAGTTGAAGTTTTTAGAAATAGTTGGCAGTCGGTATTGGTGTAAAATTTGAGTTGTTTGTTTTAGTCATTTTAAATGAGTTTTATTCATTATACATTTATTTGATGATTTCATCGGGTTTTCGTTGGTACTCCTGAATTTTATACAGCACTTTATATATTATTGGTTCAAACCAGGTTGTGGGTTTCGAAATACCGGCTTGGACTTCGGATTCTTTCATGTGAGGAAGTATCGCAGGTTGTACTCAGTTGTCTGAAATAATGCTTGTTAGGGCAAGGTCCTCCACAAGTAAAGCTGGAAAGTCATCATATGACCTTATACTGTGTTGGTGTGACATAGAACCGAACCAAAAAAAAAATACTGGTGCATTTAGATAGTTCATTTTCATGTCATTATAGCAAGTTGTATTTCTCTTGACCCCAATGAGGACAGGGTAATGATGTCCTTTGTAGAATTATTGACACCAGCTATAACCTCAGAATATTATTGTTTTCTTGAAGATGTTGATGCTTATGTGAGTAAGAAAAACACATCAAACTTCATTTGATTTCAAATTCTCAATGTATATTTCATTAGTTATCATCGTGTTTATAAATGGTATTAGAATTGTAAATCATACATCATAATTTATAATGCTCTGTTACAAAAACAAATGACCAGTCAATTTTATTTGAAATTATTTCAATTTTTTTTTTTTTTTTTTTTATATTTATTATATTATGTTTTCATTTTTGTCTAAAGTTAACTCTTTACTATTTGCTTTTGATGTTTGATGTTCTCTTTTATTAAAATTTTTATCTCAACACATTTTGAACAAGATATCATGAATTCATTTTAGATTGCTAAGGATTCACTATTTATATAAATATAAGCTTTAGTAAACATACACTGTAATTAATACTTACATTTATTTGATCTAGAAAATCAGATTATTAGATATTCGTATTGTAAATTTCAATGATATTATTAATCAATACATTACAAGAAAGCCTTGTAGTGATCAGTTTCTTCACTGTAAATGTTTATTATATAGTTTCACCAGGGTTAAAAAATTTTGCTATGTCCTATAAAATACTGTTCACTAATACAGCATGGTAATTTGACTTATTATCCAAAAAGGATCAATTAATTAACACTGTTTTATATCTCATGTAATGCTATTGTTTTTCTCTTTCCTTACTGCTTACTAAATCAGTAATGACCACAAGTATGGAATCAACTAACGGAACTTTGTAATGTAAGTCTATAATTTCATATGTATGAGTAATTTGTTGAACCAGGTTTTGCCTGAGTCAGACTTGTAACTGTGGAATAAACATGGATACATAACCAATGCCATTGATCAATATGGCCACGTTCTCCTTCAACCAACCAGTTTATGCCATTTTGATAAAATAATTTACCTATTAGTGGCCTTGGACTTTTTTTGTATGGTTAAATAAAAGGGGTCATGTGCCAGGAAGGGTCAAGACTAATTGTAAATGGTAGTGGTAAATAAAAATAATATGTCCTGTTAATTTAAATAAAAGAAATGGAAAATGGATATCGGCTTGAAAATTGTTTACAGTTTGAATTTAGAAGTTTCGGTCCTATAACAACCATGTAAAATTAAGCAAATAGGTGACTAGGTGGGCAGATACTGGACGAAAAGAGACATAATTATGTGGTTTCTTGTATTTAATGGCTAACCATAGGAAAAGGGTATATATTTTGAGGTAAAGAAAAAATATTTGGTACTTTTAATTCAAAGGAGATATTCAGAGACCTTTTATAGTTATAATTTTGTCTGGATGAAATTCAGGTACCAGTTAGTACTGGTCTTAACTGTATTATTAATTTTTAAGCAGCAGATTATTTTAAGTGCATTCCATGCATACCACAGAGTGTGACAGGTTGCAAGAGGATGTTTTGTTTTTTTTGTTTTCATATGAACAATATAATGTATAATATTGGTTGTCCTCTCCTCCTTATCCTGGGTTTAACGGCCACTTTGACGTATATAGCAATAAAAAGCAAGATTTACAGCATTTAATATCACTTGCAAATATATATACATTATATATACACGATTACTGCCATATTTTATCACCCCTAACACACTTATATATAATTATGATTTCAGAATTTATATTTAACCCTTAACCTGCTGGAAATATTAACATGAGTATAGCCCTTGCCACTAGTATAGAGCCAGGCCCGAGCCTGCATATCTGTACAGTCTGACCAGGCTCTACACTGTTGACTGGCAAACTTCAATGTATCATCTTGATATCTCCAAAATTGATAATGGACAGTTCCATAAATAGAAGCTGGACAAGTCCATTTTAAAAAATTCAGTGGGTTAAGGGTTGACATTTTAGTGATTAAATGAAAAGATTATGTTAAAAGTAATATAGCAATAGTTGTAAAATTTAAAACTTGAATTTGAGTGTTGTAATTTATTAAAATGTTTTGATAAATGAAATGTTTTAGATAAATTTGAGCAGTGTCTAGCAATTTTCGTTGGTGTAGTGTACTATGAAATGATGTCATAGAAATGATGTTATCACAGTCATGACATCATTGTCCTTTGTTGTTTTGTTATGGCAGGTATTGTGTCAGTCCGTAACCTACTGGAACTCAAGTGATTAGGCTTAACCTTTGTCATCAGAATAGGTTGCCAGGCAGGCCTGCATTTCAGTGCAGTTTGACCAGGCTCTATACTCAGGGTAGCTGTGAATTTCTTTGCTTAAATCCTTTTAACCATGAATGGACTCTTCATACGGTAATTCAAAACAGGGCAAATCCATTACACAAATTCAGTAGGAAAAGGGGGGGGGGTAAACGAACTAGCTGTTCTCTGTGCTGTTATTTAAAATCACAAGATTACTATCGGTTGCTGGTTATTTTGTCAAACAAGAGGGTTTTGCTAAGAAAAGAAAAAACACGTTTTTATGAAAAATGAATTTTAAGACTACAATTGACCAAAATTGCTAGATGCTGCCTATTACTAGTATTAAGTTATACTTGAAACAGCTTTGTAATTAGGTTTTTCATAAAGATCTGCTTGGTTGTTTTTAAACAAGATTAAACGTAATTTTGATATGAGATATATAGATATACATGTTTTATATATTTGCATACAAAATTTATATGTGTAGCATATTTATATTTATAAAGTTATTTTTTATTATTTTCAGTGCTGAACAGACAGATATATTGCATTTTAAGTTTCGTCCAGAAATTCGTGCTGATGTGACAGGGTTAACCAAAGAATTTGATTGGCTCTCGAGTATTCTCATTGTCTCACATTGTATCCAAAGATTTCATCCGCCATAATGATATTAATTAGACTGCAAACTCTTTATTACTTGTGGTCAGGACATTTCATTGTTGCTACCTTTATTACAGTGAACTTGTGCTTCAAATGTTGATCACACTTTCCCATAAGTTAGGGAAGCCGTCCCGCAGAGCGAGAAAGCAATGTGAAGGGAGAAGTTATTTCGAGGGATATAATTTGATGAACTCTGACCTTAAGATATGAAAGATAAAGGTCATGGAACTAAAGGTGAAGGTTACAGTTGTCATGGAAGCACAGTTCAGACTGGGGGTAGCAACAGAACAGAGCCAGTGCATTTTGTAGTCATGTCACCATGTTTTATTTAAACAGCTGTTTCGGTATACCGAAAAAACTGTTTGATTTTATAAATATATATCATTAAACTGTTTTGTGTTGTGAAAGAGTAATCAGAAAATGTACCAACATTTTGGGGGTAATAGAGCTAATGGTAACCGAGTTAATATAAGTGCACCATTCAGAAAGTTTCCTTTTATTTCGTATTTTAACACTTATTCATTTTGTAAAGGGCTTATAAGTAAATTGCTTTTGAATATAGCATTTTCTGTAGAAATAACAGAATGGTGTAATGTTTAATATCATCTGAAAACTTGGATCTTGAGTCAAAGTTTATAGATAAAACGATAAAATGGTGTGTAAAAATTATATATAATATAAACTTTTGAGGAGGATGGATGATTAAAGTTGAACCTTTTATTTGAGATTACTTTAAAGTGTATGAGAATTGTCATTTCTTATTCCCATTGTTGTATATATAAACATTTTTAAAACATGTTATTTTATAGAACTGCAGGTCTGTGATGTAACTATATATATCTATAGCAAATGTTTTTAGTTAATGGAACCCTGAATTTTATGAAAATATTTAAAAGATAATGACATTTTTAACTAAAAGTTTAACACCTTTTATTTTAATTCTTATAGACATTGACAGAAATAATTTAAAGTTTAAAAGGGATTTGATTTTTTTTTAAAGGGAATTTTTAGAATAATCAGTAAGTTGTTATTATGTTTTTTGTTACAAATAAGCGGGTTTTTAATTAATTGGTGCAATTATATGAAAAATAAGGTTCAACCCTTAAAGTGTTAAGATTTTTGGTCAATTCTCTTATATTGCATATCTAAATTTTTAATTTCTTCCTTTTTCTTTTGTTTTGAAAATAAAATCATTAGATGATTTCATAAAGGTGCTTTTCATGTTTTAAGTTGCATGTATTTATCAAAGCTTTTATTTATCTACTCTGACATTTTGAAAATAAGATATTTGAATTATTTATTCTGTATTATGATAATAGCTTTTAAAACACACAATTCAAAACATATTTTACTATAAGCCAAAATAATGCATTATCAATGAAGTTAGGAAACCTTCAACTACTGGTATGAAATTTCATCTTGGCTTTTTAAAACTTGTTCTAATGGTAATATAATGATATATAAAAATATATAAAAGGAATTGTTAATGAATTTTTACTGTACTTTAATGGATGTTTTATGCAAAACCATGGCTTTTGGAATATTTTTTCTGTGATAAATATATTTAAAGTTCCACCAACCTTTACCTATTATAGTCTCATCATATGAGAAACCTTTTATCTTATTTATATTATAAAAAATACTGTGTAACAGTTGCTTTTTAACTACTGACAAATATGTCCTTAAAAAATCAACAACCAAAATTACACATTTATTATGACTTCAATTTCTTTTTTATTTCTATATTTTTTTTGTAAATTTTTTAAAATTACATTCGAATTTTTATGCTCTGATATTACAAAACTGGTGTTCAGTTGTATGTGTTCTTGAAATCTTTATCTGCTGGTATCTTGCATCTGATTGGTTATTAGATTATTTTGCTGAATTCTGATTGGTCAAGTGATTTTGAATTGCTGAAATTTGATTGGTTATCTGAAATTTGAGTTCTGTAGCTTATTTCTGATTGGTTTAAATGATTTGAAAATATGATAATGAGTTAATGTTGCTATATAAGGCTACCTCAAGATGTATATATTGAATTTTGATGTCATAACACTAAATTTTTGAAAGAAGGAAAATTAAGACAAATACATTACAACAAACAGCTTAAAGGATGAATAGGATTTAATAAAGAATTATTTAGTTTACAATTAACAATTTTTGACTGTCAAAGAAACTTTCTGTAACAAAAGGAGTAAAAAAGACAACAAAAATTAAAGCCAAATCAGTTGACCATTGGATTATTTTTTGTACATTGACATGTGTTTTGAATTATTATTTTGACCTAATTTATTAAAGATTGAGGACTTGTACAAAGATGTCTGTTACTTATGCTACAATTGTATATCTATAGTTAAATATCTTAGAGTATAACATTTTATGGTGGAGAGTTGGAGCTTCGTTTATGGGAAATTATTAAATTATATGATAATTTTCCTAAAAAAAAAATTGTGCTGATTATATCTTTTATGCTTTAGTTTTGTTTAAGTTCTATATTTTATTTTCAGTTGAGGGTTTATGATTTTAAAAGTGGAAGAAAAAAATTCTTATGTTACTATTTTAATTGCAGTGGTAGCAAATGTAAATATATATATGCAATGTTTTTTTTATACATTATGAAATTTCTATTTTAGCATTTGTATGAAATTGATTTTCCTCTACTTTTTCTCTTAACTTTTTAAAAAGTCTTCAATGGAAATTGTTTATTTTAATTTTTATTCTAAAAAGTTATTTTCCTTTAGGCTTTGAATTGCAAAAATTGCATCAATTGTCAAAAGTAAAAATCCGATGGCATTGTTTAAGTGTATGTTGAATGTATGTAACTATGTAAGCCTGCATGTTGCTACTTATTATCATATTTCTATGCCGTGTCAAAGATTACAGAAAAATAGATGAAAATGAACTTTTTGTTTCGTTGTAATTTATTTATTCTACCTTTTGGATATGTAGGAACCCTGGCCTGTTTTAATGATGAAGGTCGAGGTTACAGCTTGACCGACTTCCAATATAAATTATGTTCTAAACATAAGAGCTGATTATATGATATGAACAAGGGCACCAAATGTTACAAAATGTGACTATCACAGAAGCTGTTGGTGATGATATGGGCATAAATGGTAAAATGTGGGAAGCAAGTTTGCCTATTCCTAGTGCTAGATACTGAAACAAACCTTTTTATGCCCCCAAAGGGAGGCATAATATAATCGCACCGTCTGTCCATCCGTCTGTGCGTTCCCACTTAATTTGTGTCCCGACTGTAACTTTGTCATACATAGAGGGATTTTGAAATTACTTGGCACAAATGTCTACCACATCAAGATGATGTGTCACGTTCAAGAACCACGTCCCTACCTCAAAGGTCAAGGTCACACTATCATTTTGAAGTTTCACATATTCGCAATTAGAGTAAATAGGTTCACACATTTGTACCCGGACTGTAACTTTGTTATGCATTGAATGATTTTAAAATAACTAGGCATAAATGTCTACCACATTAAGACGATGTGTGGTATCCAAGAATTACGTCCCTACCTCAAAGGTCAAGGTCACATTATCATTTTGAAGTTTCACATTATCACAATTAGAGAAAATAGGTACACACATTCGTGTCCGGACTGTAACTTTGTCATGCATTGAATGATTTTAAAATAATTTGGCATAAATGTCTACCACATCAAAACCATGTGTCGCGTCCAAGAATTACGTCTCTACCTCAAAGGTCAAGGGCACACTAACAATTTGAAAATAATAGGTACACACAATCGTGTCCGGACTGTAACTTTGTCATGCATGGAAGGATTTTAAAATAACTTTGCACAAATGTCTACCACATCAAGCTAAGGCTCATGTCTGTGTGTCCCCACTTACACAACAATCTTGTCCAGACTAACTTTGAATCCCTTTTACCAGCTTCATACAGGCAACTCTTATCGCAATGGAATAATTGTATCAAGTGATACTAAAACCATTTTAAGCATGTAGAGAATATACTTCAGACAAAACAGGTGTGTCCTAAATAGAAACTGTTTCAAATTGGAATTAAAGAAATATGTGTGGCATGTTATTTCAAGTCAATAATGCTGCGCATGATATATGGATTTTGATCACAAAGGAACGTTATCATTACTGGAACTGTACAATTCATGTTAGTCATTTGAATTCCCTTGTTGGCATTAACAAGTTTAAACTGTTTTCCATTACCATTTCCTTATATTATATAAACTTAGGTTATCAACTGGACTTTCACTTGTTAATTTTCACATACATTGTATATCTGCCATACATTCAACTACCAGAAGCTCCCAAATCGAGACTTGGCAATCTGAAGCATCCATTCTTACCCTTATTTTGCTTGCAACTAAACGATATTGATATATCCCTAACAAGAATTTGTACCAATGTCCACCGCCTAAAGAAGTTTTACACAAAGCACAAATTTTGTTTACACAAAGTACAAATTTTGTTCTATTTCAAAAGACTGAGGTACTATTTCAAAAGACTGAGGTATGGATTTGGACTTCAAGTGCAAAATTTTGATCAATGCTAGATCTGCACTGATCTAAATTCATAAAAGAAATAGAATGAAATAACTTATGTGTATGTGTTATCACCATTTCAAAACTATAAAATGTGACAATTATACAAATCAATAAAGGGTATGGTCACAGGGTATATTTCATGTCTGGTCCATAACCTTTTCATTGATTAAGGTATGTGGGCGATTTACCAATGACATTTTATTTGCTTGGGACTGACTTGGCATCATACTCTGTAACAGATCACGTTAGGCTTTGACCTCCTAGTGTGACCTTGACCTTAGAGATTTGGGTCTGGGTGTTGCGCATAACACATCATCTTATTCCATTGTGAACATTTGTGCCAAGTAGTTTTAAAATCCTTTTAGAATCTATGTAAAAGTTATGGACTGGAAACAAACTGTACCCTATAACAGACCATGTTAAGCTTTGACCTCCAAGTGTGACTTTGACCTTGGAGGTAAGGGTCACATTGTCTAATTGTGAACATTTGTGCCAAGGAATGTCAAAATCCCTTGATCTATGAAAGTTATGGAACAGACACAAAGCATACCCTATCACAGACCATGTTAAGCTTTGACCTTCAAGTGACCTTGAGGCAAAGGTCTGGGTGCTGTGCATGACACATTGTCTTATTATAACAAATATTTGTGCCAAGTTCTTTGATAAATGGCTTAGTTATGAACTGAACAGACAGACAGACGGAGATCATTTTTATAAAGCATATTTTCCAACATCTCGGCAACAGATTAAATATTGCTACAAAAATCACAGAAAAGCAAACACAATTTTCTTTTTATTAAAAAACTTTTATTTCTGAAGTCCTTGTAAAGTAGAAAAATGGAAATCAAAGTTAATTTTCAGTTTTGAAGCATATTTTTCCAAACTTCAAATATTTTCAGGATTTTTTATGAACAAATAATATAAAACTGCCCAAAACCCTCCTATAGTACAGAAAAAACATTTTCATTGATTTGAAAGGCAAATAATTATACCTATCTTGTATAATATAAATATGAATATAAATACATGTACATGTACTTTGTCTTGACAATCAAATGACAGTTTTGAAAAATGTATTATAGAACAAAATGCAATCATAAATATTTCAAGAAATTTTGATAATCTCAAGCTCCTGCTGAATACATAAAAAAAAATATTTCATTTTATGTTTTATACAAAGGCATTTACTAATCTGGCAATGTGAATCATCTGTTACAAATATTGCCTATTAATTTCTATCATATGAACATAGTTTAAAGTCACATAAGAAAAAAGATAAATTTTGCTGACAATATTGTTTAAATTAAGAAATAACATTTTACACTATAAACACTAGTAACATCAAGCATAGATCCAGGAACTTTTAACAGAAGAAGGATGTAAAAAAATGGGTAATGCACATTTCAAAGGGGGTTTGATATTTTACTGAGAGCGTGTCTTGCTGATTTTCGTTCAATTTTGTGTGATTTTCAATAAATAATCTTAAGTCGAGAACCAAATCTTTGTTTCCACAAACTAGCCAATATTTTTTGGCATATTTGTGATTTTTTTTTCAAAATCAAAGATATTTATAAAATTTAGCCCATTAATTTTAGAAATGTCAATGTTGCAATTCTCCAAGCACTGCAACATTTTGCAGTATAAAAGGTGCAATTTTCTATTAACATAAATATCTAAAATTTTAGTCACATTTCTTTGAAATAATGTTGATAGCAATGAATAATTGTCACAATTCTCCAAACACTGAAACATTTTGTTGCATCAGACAAAAATTTTTTTTCTTACAAAATTGTCTTAAAATTAAGTCATTTTCTTCAAGCCGATGTTTACAGTATATTTGTAATTAAAATCTGTCCTATCACAAGTTTACATGCTATCAGGAGACTGTCACTTTCTCTAGATTAGATGCTACAGTTGATATTTCAGCTTTCCTTGCTTGCTCCATAGCCATAGCACATGTCTCTTTCTCCTTTTCCTGAAATAAGATAATAATATTGCAAGCTATACGAGCCGTGTCAAAAACCAACATAGTGGGTTTGCGATCAGCATGGATCCAGACCAGTCTGCGCATCCGCGCAGTCTGATCAGAATCCATGCTGTTCGCTTACCAACTCTATTACAAGTGGAGAAACTGACAGCAAACAGCATAGATCCTGATCAGACTGCGCGTATGCGCAGGCTGGTCTGGATCCATGCTGGTCGCAAATGTGGTTTATGTTGGTTTTGTCATGACACGGCTCATTTATAATTCAATAAGCTACTCATTGTCTATTGATTAAGTTACACAGGATCCATTTTATAATATTTTAATTACATAATTAACAAATTTATTTACGAAAATTTATTTTGGAAACTTTCCAGCTTCATTATTTGATTAAAACCTGCTTATTATGGCAACTTAGGAGGAAAACAGCCTCATATGGCAACTTTTCAGGTTTACTGGTAGAGGAAGATCTGTAAGCCTGATGAAAAGCTTGCTTGAAAACTTCTGTTCATGAAGAATTCAGAGAAATTTAATGGCAAATAGCAAGGAAGGCTCAGTAAGTGAGCTAAGCCCTCAGCGATTTAGGCACTCATTTTATTCCTGACTGAAAAATTGAATCTGGAACAGGCATTTCAATGTTTTAGTATTTAGTATTATTTCAAGGTTTTCAGTATTTAAAGTGACATGCCCATCCAAAGGTATATAGTGAGTGAACATGTGAATGTATAAATAAGTTTTCATTTTGCAATAATTCTTTTTGATTTAATTTTAAATTGACTTTGCAAAAACAATAAATAAAGCACGGATCCTAAGGAATTTTCTGTCAATATCCATTAAAATTTAAGTGTACCGTTCAGTTTATAAAAAGAGTGGGACAGTCTTTTTATATTAAAGGCAGATTTATAATTTTATCCTAAACATTTTCAAATATCACATGTTGGTCAAATACCATTTTAACAGTCAATCTTTTGAAATAATTATAAAGTCAATTCAGCTCAACTTGACTATGAAAATATGAGCATAATGTCACTTTAAATACAACGAATGATCTACCGACTGTACGCAGCCAGGTCAGAATGCTAGGATTTGCAGACTGGCCTTGCTTTATACTGGTGGCAAAGGCATGTCACTTTCAGTTCCAGGTTAAGGATTTAATAAAAACACACAAATTCTTACGAAACAAAAGCTCTGAGCAATAGAAATACGTGTAATGTAAAGCTTTAAATTAACTCGGAGGTTTTGCATATCCTACAAATATGTTATGGTGTCTTAATGTTTTGTAAACTTTAAACAAAACATAATTTCCAGCATATTTCCTGAGTTTTGTATTAGAATAAGTTTCTGAAATTCATTAAGATTACTGTGGACTATATTCCAAGCTCTTTTTCATCACTTAATGTCTAAGAGCTTTGGAGCTGGAGCCATCATTATAGCACAGTGATTCCTTAAATCAGACTTTTTAAAACAGTTAAGGTGCAGGACCACTGATCATTATATTCAGTATCTACCATATAGTTCTCAGACTAAGGGAGACAACTCTCAATTTTCTTTTCTTGCATAATATATTATAGTTACCTATTTATCTAAGCAGGTTTAACCATCAATCTGAACAATACAAAACTTTTTCTCAGAGTTAATATGAATTAAAAGTATTCACCATGTGACTTCAGAAAAAAACTGAGGGTGTTATCTTTGTATAAAGAGTAACAACCAATGTATTTATTGACATCACATGAAAAATTAAAGTAATAATTCATTTTGGTAAAATTAAGATTGAAAAATATGTCTATCAGATACAATTTAAGAACGCCAATTGATGCACACTTGTAACAAAATCTGAAATACAGTCAACAGGTTAATATCTGTACTTCCTTTTTCTACATACATAATTATATGTATAACCACGATGTACAATTTACTTTTATATCTATACATTTTCTTAGTTTAGGTGGACTTTTACATGATATAATGGAATAATCTAAGTCAACCAATCCAAGCATCTAAAACAATATTTTTTACATGTTTATTTAGCGTAGGTTAGACTGAAACTCTGTATTCATTTTGTGTATTCATACAACTCTCATTGAGTTTGAGGTCCTTCAACAAAGACTGATGGAAAAGAGCCAAAAAGTTGAGAATGTTTAAACCACAACAGCCAACTGAACTAATATCTGGGACAGAAAGATACACATATTCAGTCCTAGCCAATAAGAATAATCTTATGAAAAAGCTCAAAATTTTGAAAATGTATTTAAAAGTAAAATATTGTGAGGTGAACAAAGAAAGTAATTTACACATCAAAAATGGCACTTAAAATCCATGTAAATTACCAAAATGAGTCAAAATATGCAAAAAAATGGCCCATACTGCATTAGTCATGCAGAACTAATAGGGTGATGAATACTGGGTCATAAATTGCAAATAACATGTAAATTATTACTTGATTCATAAATCTTTTACCCCTCTTGAAATCTTTTTACAATTTCTCAAGTCTTATTTTCTTGAAATATCTCACGGCATGCAGCTTTAAGGATCAAACTTAAATATATTTAAATAGTTTGAAAACAAATATACTGCTACATAAAACACTTGGTATTGTTATTTACTTCAAAACAAAACTTACAGTAACTTTAAATTCTGCTAGATCTCTTCTCATGGCATAGGCATCTTCACCATCTGCGTAATACTTCGGCTCAATTTCACTTATTCTGTACACAAATAGAAAGAGATTTTAAGAATTTCACTGACATTTTAGTAAAACAATTTAAACTTTCAGTGGCAAAAAAACTAGCGTGCAAAAGATTAAGTCAATTAACTTAATATTTACATTGGTAAGTTTGTTTTATTGAATAAAGTACAAAAAATTTACATGATGTGCAAATTGGAACTTCGCTTTCAAGTGTTTCTAAATTCTTTACCTTTCTAAATTCTTTACCGTTACTTTCTTACTTTCTGAATGTAACATGAATCAGTAGAGCAGGATGAAATCATAATGTGCTTGTTTTATCAGAGACAACAATACTGTTCTTTGTCCAAGAACTGAAATCACGAGATCAGAAGACCAAGCAATATCCCTACTTAACTAACAAGACAGGATACCTTGTGTTTGTTTGTTTGAACAAATGTTTTTGGGTCATATTTCGGTGGCAGATCAACCTCATCAGCTTTCCTGGATAACTAACCAGTAATTACCTCTTCCTACACAAGAAACCGAATACTTATCCCACAAAATCTCAGATTCAGCTGTTGTGTACAAATGACCATCTCAATGTCCGAAATCAATTACGCCTAGCCTAAGGGTCTAACAAGCCACCCCTGGATTACTTATCAAATGCTCTTCTTATTGAGCTAAGCAGGAGAGTATTTAGAAACAACTTTGTATTTGAAACCGACTAATGAACCATGACAGTATATCATCACATTAAGTAAAGGACATGTTTCACCTTCTTGCCTTAATCGAAATGCCTACAGAGGTTTAAACATTGCTCTACTGTTCAACATTTATCAATCAGAATACTTAAAATGTTACCACAATGCGGATTTGAATTGTAGTAGTCATTAAAGTTTTTAAACATTTCACTGGAATTAATAACGATCAGGTAAAGTTCAAGATAGGCGATGTAAACTTCAGACTAGTTTGACTGGGTAAGTGATTTAAAAGTTTATGTCTAACATGTCAGTGGACCAAATGTTTTACATACAATACATACTGAAATCTCAATGTTTCTGTATATAGATGTAACGCTGCTCTGTTACTTTTCCGCACGTGCAATGAGACATATCTCGCATCAAAACATTCCACCATGGCTCGAGACGCCTGATCCATCAACTTTTTAGCTAAACCAAGCCTTCTGTATGACCTTTTCACAGCCTATTAATGGAAAATATATATTTTTAGATGCACAAGTCTCACCCTGGTCTAAATACAAAATAAATTATTTTAGTGAAAACATAATTATCAAGTTCAGGTTTTGATGCAATTATTTTAAATAATTGCATCAAAACCTAAAATTTATATTTTTCACTAAAAGGGCCACAACTCTGTCAAAATGAAAGGCAGAGTTGTCAAATTTGGTGGAAAAAAAAACAAACATATTGAAGTCATGCATGAGTCAACAGCTTGAGATATGAGAGTGCATCTTTAACAAAACCCAAGACTTTATATCAATTTTGACAAATTGCAAATCAGAGTTAGGAACATGTATGATATTTCTCAAATATGAATGCAAAAGCTTTTGTAAAGCATAATGCAAGTTTCTTACATGTTTTTTTTTTTGTTTTGTATTTTTTCAGAAATAGACAAATAAGTGAAACAGACATACTTTTACATGAAAGAATTGTGTTACCTGCACATTAGGGGAATAATAAATAAAACTTAAAAAACACACGAAAAGTTATGAATTGCTATTTACCAAATATCCAAGCTCATGGTATTGCAGTTTTACAAAAGAAGACTTAAATATATTTTCCTATATAATTCAGTGACCCAAGGGGCTGGGCCATCTTGACTCCAGTCGCATGGTGTATATAATTTTTGTAGAGGACTAAAAGGTGAGGCTACATGTACATGCCAAATATTTAAGCTCTGAGCATTATAGTTACAGAGCAGAAGACTAAAGATTTCAATTTTAAAGTCTACAATGTTTTTTTTAGCTCCTGTGACCTACTTATGCATTGATCAGACAAAGAAAGACAAAATGACCAACACAAATAGGTGTAGTCTTGCATTTTTAACAGTTTTAACAACAAAATACTCAGAATACCAGCGAGGTTATGTGGCCATGTGGAACAGAATCTTCTGGATCTTCCTCCCTATAATGAAAAACAAAAATATTCATTAACACTAAAGTTATGTTAATACCATGGTGTGATCAAATATCTAACTTGTAAAGTTGACTCTTTTATAGCTTAAAAATATTTAGATTTTAACTTGAGCTTTTATTAACCACTCATAAAACAGCTTTCTGAAACCAACTACTACTAGTGCTATGAGGAACCATGGTCATAACAAAAAGACTCTAACCCACAAGCACTTGAATGACAGGCAGACACCTTAACCACACGGCCATGTCTACCCTTCCTCATTTCAAAAATATCTAAATTATTTGGATTGTATCGCATGTTGGTATTATCTTAAGTATTTTAAAATAGGTTTAGATTTAAGAATATAAATGCAGCAACCAACAATATACAACATGGTCAGACCATGTCAATGTGCAGACAGGCCTGACTCTATACAGATGATTTAGACATGTATTTAGCATACATGTGTATGGCAAGCATTCAAATGGTTAATGAATATTTCATACACATAACTTACATTTTAGCTAATACATATCCAACAATTTTCCCACACTCGTCCTCAGCAACATATGAAAGCTAGAAAAAAAGATTTACTTTGTTTAAAAATAATTCTAAAGAATTACTATTTCAAACAACTATCCCACACATACAGACATGGCTGAAATAACTTATTTGAAAGAAAATGTCAGCAAAAGGTACTTTACAGGAGATTTTCATGAATAAGATGATTAATATAAATCTTGCTCCAGACATTTCAGGTTATTAGATTTGGCACTTAATGACTTATAATGTATTTTAAGTCATGCTAAAATTTAAACTGTTGCAATAGTATGTTAGTGTGTGGGTAAGTAGATTTTATAGATGTTGAGTTAAATCAAAGTTGTTATGTACAACAATTAAATACTTTACTTCACATGAAACTAACAAACAAAATATAAACAACATCCATATAGCTTTTTTAATACTTATATGTGAAATAAGGATCGTGTAACACTAATTAATAGAATAATCACAACTTTCAGGAAATCAAATTATTAATTAATGTTCTATTTTATTATAACTTTAAATTAAATTATATTTTGTGTAGTTTACCTGTGGCCAGGATAAGCCATGATAGAAGTAGTATTTCATCTGATAATTTTCAGGTAGACACAGTAAATTACAATGCTGCATATTCATCAGATCTTCGGGCTAAAAAAAGTATTAACAGTTTATTATTTTACAAGTAATATTTACATTCTTCAACAGTTACAGTTCATATGACAATCTTTCACCTCTAAAACAGTTAAACAATTACAAAAAACAGTAGGATAATTAAGTCTTACATACAATTACAACGGTCCTACTAAACACTGCTAAAGACTGCTAAGGACCGCTAAGGACTGCTAAGGAGCCACAAAGGAGCCACAAAGGACTACTAAAGCGGCACAAAGGACCTTAAAATAGCTCCTAGGCCATTCTTATATTACATGGTATTATTTTTAGTGAAAAAAAAATTATAATTTTAAGAAAAAATATGATTTTGGTGAAAATTTTATGAGTTGTCGGACCGCTAAGGACTGCTCAGATACACAAAAGACTGCTAGGGAGGCACAAAGGACCTTAAAATACCTCCTAGGGCATTCTTATAATACAAGGTAGTATGTTTAGTGACAAAAAATGTATAATTTTAAGGAAAAATATCATTTTAGTGATAAAATTTATGTTTTTGAAGAGTTGTCGGACCGCTAAGGACTGCTCAGGTGCACTAACAACTGCTAGGGAGGCACAAAGGACCTTCAAATCCCTCCTAGAACATTCTTATAATATATGGTAGTAAGTTAATAGACAAAAATGTATTATTGTAAGAAAAAAATATAATTTTGGTGATAGAATTTATGCTTTCGATGAGTTGCCGGACCGCTAAGGACTGCTCAGGTGCGAAAAGGACTGCTAGGGACCTTAAAATATTTCCTAAGGAGGCACAAAGGACCTTAAAATACCTGTAAGGGCATTCTTATAATACATGGTAGTATGTTTAGTGATAAAAAATGTATAATTTTAAGGAAAAATATCATTATAGTGATAAAATTCATGTTTTTGAAGAGTTGTCGGACAGCTAAGGACTGCTCAGGTGCACTAACAACTGCTAGGGAGGCACAAAGGACCTTCAAATCCCTCCTAGAACATTATTATAATATATGATAGTAAGTTAATAGACAAAAAGAAAAAAATATAATTTTGGTGATAGAATTTATGTTTTTGATGAGTTGCAGGACTGCTAGGGAAGTACAAAGAATCTTAAAATACCTCCTAGGGGCACAAAGGACTGCTAGGGAGGCACAAAGGACATTTAAATACCTCCTAGGGCATTCTTATAATATATGGTAGTATGTTTAGTGAGAAAAAATGTATAATTTTAAAAAAAATATAATTTTGGTGATAGAATTTATGCTTTCAATGAGTTGCCGGACCGCTAAGGACTGCTCAGGTGCACTAACAACTGCTAGGGAGGCACAAAGGACCTTAAATTACTTCCTAGGGCATTTTTATATTATATTGTAGTAAGTTAATAGATAAAAAATGTATTTTTTAAAGAAAAAATATAATTTTAGTGATAGAATTTATGTTTTCGATGAATTGGAGGACCGCTAAGGACTGCTAGGGAGGTACAAAGAATCTCAAAATACCTCCTAGGGGCACAAAGGACTGCTCAAATGGTGTCTCAAATGGTGAAAAATGCATTATTTAGGCCCTTAACACTTGTTTTTGTTTGAGAAATGTTGTTAAAAAAAGTGACCACTTTTTCGGCGCAGCCCCCAACCAAAAGATACATCAGGGGGTTGCCAGAAGGGGGATGTGCCCCCTTCTGTTTGGGGGGGTTTGAAGGGGGGCGGAGTCCCCCTCATCGCCAAGAAAATTTTGGACTTGTGAGAGGCTATAAATGACCCCAGATTGATCATAAGGTAACGTGTAACCAACGCTGAAAAGCATTTGACTCTATCTCAATCCATTGAGAAGTTGCAGCACTTTGAAATCAATTATGATGGAAAAAATCAACGCAAAATAGTGATTTTTGGCAATTTTGAGATGCCCCCTCGTTGCCATGGTAACAGAAAATTAAAGCCTGAGCATGTTGTTGCAAGGGCAATGGTCCAGTCAACATTTGTGCCAAGTTTGATTAGTGTTGAAGCAGTTTTTATAGTATTATAGCAATTTGAACTTGTAACGGGAGACTTTTCAATGAAAACAGCCATTTTTCACAAAATGCTCATGAAGTAATGGGTTAATGAAAAAAATAAAAAAATCTACAAAACAACAATTTTTCTTCAAATTTATATGACAGGCCATGTTTAAACATGGAAAAACGCAATTTAGAGTAATTTCAAGTATTTTCATCATTTTCTGTTAACCCATTACTTCATATACACGCCTTTTAACGCCTTTTTCACCCCCCCCTTTTTGTTGTCTCAAATGGTGAAAAATGCATTATTTAGGCCCTTAACACTTGTTTTTGTTTGAGAAATGTTGTTAAAAAAAAGTGACCACTTTTTCGGCGCGGCCCCCCAACCAAAAGATACATCAGGGGGTTGCCAGAAGGGGGATGTGCCCCCTTCTGTTTGGGGGGTTTGAAGGGGGGCGGAGTCCCCCTCATCGCCAAGAAAATTTTGGACTTGTGAGAGGCTATAAATGACCCCAGATTGATCATAAGGTAACGTGTAACCAACGCTGAAAAGCATTTGACACTATCTCAATCCATTGAGAAGTTGCAGCACTTTGAAATCAATTATGATGGAAAAAATCAACGCAAAATAGTGATTTTGGGCAATTTTGAGATGCCCCCTCGTTGCCATGGTAACAGAAAATTAAAGCCTGAGCATGTTGTTGCAAGGGCAATGGTCCAGTCAACATTTGTGCCAAGTTTGATTAGTGTTCAAGCAGTTTTTATAGTATTATAGCAATTTGAACTTGTAACGGGAGACTTTTCAATGAAAACAGCCATTTTTCACAAAATGCTCATGAAGTAATGGGTTAAATATCTCCTAGGGCATTCTTATAATATATGGTAGTATGTTTAGTGAGAAAAAATGTATAATTTTAAGAAAAAATATAATTTTGGTGATAGAATTTATGTTTTCGATGAGTTGCCAGACCGCTAAGGACTGCTCAGGTACACAAAAGACTATAAGCGAGGCCCAAAGGACCTTAAAATCACTCCTAGAACATTCTTATAATATATGGTAGTATGCTTAGTGACAAAAAATGTATTATTTTAAGAAAAAATATAATTTTCGTGATAGAATTTATGTTTTTGATGAGTTGCTGGACTGCTAAGGAGAGCTCAGGTGCGCAAAGGACTGCTAGGGAGGCACAAAGGACCTTAACTTACTTCCTAGGGCATTTTTATATTATATTGTAGTAAGTTAATAGATAAAAAAATGTATTATTTTAAGGAAAAATATAATTTTGGTGATAGAATTTATGTTTTCGATGAATTGCAGGACCGCTAAGGACTGCTAGGGAGGTACAAAGAATCTTAAAATACCTCCTAGGGGCACAAAGGACTGCTAGGGAGACACAAAGGACCTTAAATTACTTCCTAGGGCATTCTTATATTATATGGTAGTATGTTTAGTGAGAAAAAAGGTATAATTTTAAGAAAAAATATAATTGTGGTGATAGAATTTATGTTTTCGATGAGTTGCCAGACCGCTAAGGACTGCTCATGTGCGCAAAGAACTGCTAGGGAGGCACAAAGGACCTTAAATTACTTCCTAGGGCATTCTTATAATATATGGTAGTATGTTTAGTGAGAAAAAAGGTATAATTTTAAGAAAAAAAATAATTGTGGTGATAGATTTTATGTTTTCGATGAGTTGCCAGACCGCTAAGGACTGCTCATGTGCGCAAAGAACTGCTGGGGAGGCACAAAGGACCTTAAATTACTTCCTAGGGCATTCTTATAATATATGGTAGTATGTTTAGTGAGAAAAAATGTATAATTTGAAGAAAAAATATAATTGTGGTGATAGATTTTATGTTTTCGATGAGTTGCCAGACCGCTAAGGTCACTGCTCATGTGCGCAAAGAACTGCTAGGGAGGCACAAAGGACCTTAAATTACTTCCTAGGGCATTTTTATAATATATGGTAGTATGTTTAGTGAGAAAAAATGTATAATGTTAAGAAAAAATATAATTGTGGTGATAGAATTTATGTTTTCGATGAGTTGCTGGACCGCTAAGGACTGCTCAGGTGCGCAAAGAACTGCTAGGGAGGCACAAAGGACCTTAAATTACTTCCTAGGGCATTCTTATAATATATGGTAGTATGTTTAGTGAGAAAAAAGGTATAATTTTAAGAAAAAAAATAATTGTGGTGATAGATTTTATGTTTTCGATGAGTTGCCAGACCGCTAAGGACTGCTCATGTGCGCAAAGAACTGCTGGGGAGGCACAAAGGACCTTAAATTACTTCCTAGGGCATTCTTATAATATATGGTAGTATGTTTAGTGAGAAAAAAGGTATAATTTTAAGAAAAAATATAATTGTGGTGATAGAATTTATGTTTTCGATGAGTTGCCAGACCGCTAAGGACTGCTCATGTGCGCAAAGAACTGCTAGGGAGGCACATTAAGGACCTTTAGTTACTTCCTAGGGCATTATTATAATATATTGTAGTAGGTTTATAGATAAAAAATGTAATATTTTAAGATAAAAAATAATTTTGGTGATAGAATTTATGTTTTCGATGAATTGGAAGACCGCTAAGGGGCACAAAAGACCTTAAATTAACAAGCATTTGATAGTATTGCGGGCAATACAGTAGTCCCCTACCGGTCCCTCAAAAAGTTCTTTAATTGTCATACACTCCTGTGTTTTGCCATTTATAATGAATTTGAGGATGAAGTCTGTATTTGAAAATATCGACCACAAAACATAATAAAATAAGTTTGTCTATATCACAGTAATGTGTTAAGTTTCCATGCTTAGTAAGGAAATTATGTTTATACAACCTTGTCATATTATTACGATGTGGGATTTTAAAGTAAATCCTATAAGGAATGAAGAAGTTGGAGTGAAAATACCAGTTTCTCGAAAAAAATCAAAAAAAAAATCAAAAAAAGTTCAAGGGGGACATAATTCTGGAAATAGTCTTGCTAGAGTATTTAACCTTCTCAAAAATGTCGAGTGATAATAAGAAACATATAT